AAAAATGATGTAGATCTATAAATACTCACTGGATAAATTATTAAGAAAAAACTGTATACATAGTTTAATTTTATTTATGTATACACAAATATATATGTATGGACACATTAGCAAGAGCATGGGAAAAGAATATGGGGTAATATACACCAAAATACATTTAATAATGTCTATTAAAATATTAGACATTTATGAAGCATGGCAATGTAGACAACATTCAATTTTTGTCTGCTATACTTGATTACTTTTTGTTTTTACTTCTTTTGTAAGCTAAAAAATTGCAAATTTTGAAGATAAAAATACAAATAATAAAGTATCTTTTTTAAACAAAAGTATAATTATATTTTAATACTACATAATACAAAAAGTGAGATTTAAAGAGTTAAGGACAAAGATTGAAGGATGAGGACAAAGGGACCAACAACAAGATAAGGGAAATTTTAGACCTCAAAATTGGATGGAAAAAGACTACGTTTCTGCATCAAGCTACACAGTAATACATAAGAAGAAATTAAACAAGACAAAGTTGGAAATCTAAGAAATAATAAACCAGAAGAGAAATTCTAGCAGCCTAAATGAAGGAAGATTCACTTTTATGCAAAAAGGTAGGTAAGCATGATTCGAAAAGAGAGAAAGGTGATCAAAAGTACCCAAAGTCCTTATAGAGTTGAAATGAAGGCAGAATTTGTGCACAGGAATAAGGGTTGAAGGGAATGAACACAATTTTGATGAACCTTCATTTTGCCCTTTAAATTTATGACACACTAACTCAAAACCGTTTGCCTTTCTAGCTCTCCAGGGAAACACAGCTAGGAGATGTAAATGACGTACTGGTCAAGAAGAATGTATAGTTATAATTCAGAGAGCTTTAAATAATTCATTTATTACCCTAGGCCTAGAAATATCCAAATTGTTTTAGAAGTTTCATTTATATTTTATCAAGAAATCAACAAGCGCATGCTCTTTTCCCATAATACTCATATGTAATTTTAATTTACTCTATCAATTTATTCAAGAAATAATTACAGAGCACCTGTTATATATCTTACATGCCCTGGGGTTTCAAGAAGAAAACAGAACAGACAGGGTATTT